TTCAGTGGAAAAAAACATGGGGAAGCTAAAATTCAAGAATTCAGACAAAATAAAAGCATTAACAACTTTTAAAAAAAATTGTAGATGGACAATTTTTTGCTAGGATTACAGGCATGCGCCATCGCACCTGGCTTAAAATTATTTTAAAATTTGTTCCTTTCCTTCTTGTATCTAACCTTTAAAAAACAAAAAACAAACAAAAACATTTTTCCTTCTCCCTCAAGTATCTTCTTTAGAAGTTCCTTCAGTGACAATAAATTCTTTGTTTTTATAATATCTCAAAATGTCTTGGGGCTGAGGTTGTAGCTCAGTGGTAGAGCGCTTGCCTGGCATGTGTGAGGCACTGTGTTCGATCCTCAGCACCAAATAAAAATAAATAAACAAAATAAAGGTATTGTGTCTATCTGCAACTAATCTTTTTAAATTTTTTATATGTATACATATATTTTAGTTGTTAGTGGACCTTTATTTTATTTGTTTATTTATATGTGGTGCTGAGAATTGAATCCAGTGTCTCACACATGCCAGGCACGAGCTCTACCACTGAGCCACAACTCCAGCCCTGAAACAATTAAAAAAAAAAAAATTAATCCAGGGGCTGGGGTTGTGGCTAAGCAGCAGCGCGCTCACCTAGCATGTGCAAGGCCCTGGGTTTGATCTTCAGTACCACATAAAAATAAATAAATGAAATAAACATATTGTGTCCAACTACAACTAAAAAATAAAATATATATAAAAAGATTAATCCAAACTTTCAATTCAAAAGATCAGAGCTTAAAATAAATTCAAATTAAGTAGAAAGATAAAGAATAAAAATCAATGAAATAGAAAAATAAAAATCAATAGGACTAATCAATAAATCCAAAATCTGGTTATTTGAAAGGATTAATAAAATAAGCAATCATTAGGCAAGTCTTACCAATAAAAAGAGAGAAAAAGCACCAAAAAGTATTAATATTAACAAGAAAGATAACTTCATAAATACATGAGTTTATTTATTTTCTTAATCTAGAATAGTACATACATTATGTTAAAATATATTAAATTTTAATAATGCTAAGGATTTTCTATAAAAATAGAAAGTATTAAATTGACTTTGAAGAAATAGAAAACCTGAGAAATCAATGTTTATGGAAAAAAATGAAAAGGAAGTTAAATACTGATATCAACTTCCTAAAAAACATCAGCAGGGCTGCAGATGTAGCACAGTGGTAAAGGGCTTGCCTAGCATGGGTGAGGCTCTGAGTTCAATCCCCAAAACAGAAAAAAGAAGGAAAAGAAGAAAGAAAACATAAGTAGCAGCCCAGGCAGTCTGCAGTCAAGTTCTGTGAAACTTTAAGGAACAGATAATTCTTCTGCTCCAGAGCACAGAAAATGATGGGAAGTTTCCCAACTTAATCAGTAAGGAGAGCAAAACCTTAATTATGAGCTCACAAAAATGGGGAAGGAAGAAAACTATATACCAATCTTGCTTATAAATATAGATAGCAAACCCTAAATAAAATGTTAGGTTATTGACTCTACCAAACTACCCAAAAGTGCACTTCAAAGTATCCCAAAATTTTAGAGGAAAAAAAAAATCTAGCAGCATAATCACTTATGTTAGTAATTTTAAGATGGACGCCTACATGGTCATATCAATGAATGCTATACAAAAGCATTTGGAAAAAGACCAAAGCACATCCCCAAATTTCAAACTCTTAGTACCTAGGAATAAATACTAACATAAGAGCACACTTAGTGATTTTACAGGAGAAGCATTCCCCTAAAATTAAGCCCAAAGAAGATGTCCTGTTTAACCTTTAAAGTCAACACTGTCGAGAGAATGACCCATGGAAGAAAAGAAATAAGAAGCACAAAAATTAGAAAGAGACATATGGTGTTGCCTCTTAACAGACAACAAAATTATCTAACTGGAACAGCCAAACTAATCAGCTTAAAACTAGTATTAAGGGGCTGCGGTTGTAGCTCAGTGGTAGAGCCCTTGCCTTGCAAGTGTGAGGCACTGGGTTCGATCCTCAGCACCACCGAAAAATAAAATAAATGAAATAAAGATATCGTATTCACCTACAATTAAAAATCACCAATAAAAAAACTAGTATTAAAACATATGCAGAGTTCGGTATGCAGGTTTAGCTTCGGATCTACATATTCAACTTGCTTGTTTTGAAAGTTAATCATGCAAAGCTATTTTCTATAGAGTAAGCTATTAGGATTGACAAATTCATCCCCCCCCCACCACCATCCCCATCTTAAACGTTGAAATGAGTGTTTGAAACTGGATAACCAAAATCTGCTGAAACCAAAAATCGTTCTGAAGGGCTGAGTTGTGACTCTACTCAAAAACACTTTATCTCTCGCCTCCAGCTACTGCAGTTACTAATGGATAAGCATGTCAACCAGTCCAACATAATTCATCCGATAGAGGGCAAGGAAGAGCACCTTCACCGGAATAACCCCCCCCCCCGCCCCCGAAAGCGTACACTGCTTATTATATAAACTTGCGTGCTGGCAAATGGAGCTCCCACAAAATAAAATTAAGATATTCGGAATCAAACTTGATGTTTTAAAAAATAAGAACATAAAACTAATTTTGTTAAAGGCATTTGGGAAAGGTGGTTGTTACTGTTGCACTCACGACAGGCTGCGCATTACCGGGACACCCACAAGCATCCACACGGTCCTCCTGGGCTCACCAGGTGCACTGCGCGGTGGCACCGCGAGCTAACCCTGGAGACTGGCACCGGCGCCCTTCCGAGGTCACCACAGGACAGGAAGCGGGGCAGAGCTCTGTGGACGCGAGGATGGCCAAGGTCTTAGATCCTGACACTACACGGCAATACCCCCCTCCTCATACACACACACCTCGGGCATCATCAAGGAGGATGTGGGAGGCTTCCCGGGCCCCAAGATACCCGGCCAGGAGCGCCCATGCACCTGTCCCACCACATCAAGGGCTAGGAATGCCTCTCAGGGCCACAGTCTTCGGGAGCCACCTGGCCCTCAGTCCGAGGATCCTGCGCCAATCACCTCCTCCCCAAGCCCGGAGAGGAGGGGGCGGCCACCTGACACTATCACCTGCAGCACTGGTCCCTCCAATCCCAGAGTGAGTCGGACAGAGCGTGACGTCCCTCTCCAACTGGGGACAGGACCTGCTGCACGAAGAGGTACCGGAGCCACACGACGATCACCGCAGCGCGTCTTCCCAGAGGGGCAGTCCTGTGTCCCTGCGCCCGTAATCCCGGACTCTCGCTCGCCCGCTTAAATCGGGAAGACAGCGCAACTAGGCTTAAAGGAACCAGTGGCCGGCGCAGCTCCTACTGACCCACCTCTTTAGGTTCCTGTTGGGCTTCCGCGGTGCCTCTGCAGCTCGCAGCAGCCCCGGCTCGCCGCGCTCGCGGGTGCTCTGTCAAAGGTCCCAGCGATCCCCCCCACCCCCGGTGCCTACCCCTCCAACCGCCTCTAGAGGGCGCGCGGTAGCTGGCGCGATGCTCCCTGGGAGATGTAGTCCAAGGGCTTCAGCATCTTCGATCTACCCTGCCTCCCTCCGCCTGCCTTGACCAGGTGGTCCATCCTTTCTTCTTCTTGTCTCCTCAATCTTTCATCCTTCGCCCTTGGATAATCCTTGTTGGAGCGTCTCATTGGGAGGCCTGGGTGCCCTTTCAGCACTCTAGACCAGTGTTCTTAAAGTGGCCCAGCACCTTCAGCATCTTGTGGGAACTTGATGAAAATACAAATTCTCCATCTCACCAAGGTTTTTCGATTTTTGTTTTGTTGTTTTGTTTTTGTAGTGCTAGGGATTGAACACAGGCCTCAAGCATACTAGGTAAATCCTGTACCACTGAGCTACATCCCCAGCCCTATTTTTTTTTTTTTTTGAGAGAGAGAGAGAGAAAGAGAGAATTTTTTTTTTTTTTTAAGTTTTCGGTGGACACAACATCTTTATTTTATTTTTATGTGGTGCTGAGGATGGAACCCAGTGCCCTGCGCATGCCAGGCGAGTGCGCTACCGCTTGAGCCACATCCCCAGCCCCCTATTTGGTTTTTACTGAATTAAAAACTGAAGCTGAGGCCCTGCAGTCTGCATTTATTGCAAACCCTTTGTGTGATTCTGACGTACCCTCAAGTTTGAGAACTTGATTAAAATTCCCCTCACCCTACTCAAAGAACTCATGCTTCCTATGGCATTACTTACATATATACACATATGTCTGTGTCCCTGTGCACTATGGGAGACTTAGGCATTTATGTCCCACCTAGATCTCCCCTCTCACTTTAGCCCTGTTACCCAATGTCCACCCAACATTTTGAGCATGCCTCTGAGGCACCTGAAACTCAACCAGGTCAAGATCAAGTTCAATTTGGTTCTCCTACAATGGGCCTCACATCCAGGGGCTGAAGAATGTTCACTGTATTTATTGACATGGTAGTCACTTAGTACCTCTGTGAAAGCTTCAGATGCAGAATGACAGGATCTTGAGTCATATTTGAGGGAGTGAGGATCATAACCAACGCTTGCCAGATTGGTGGGGAGGGGGTCCCTGGTGACTGGATATGGAAGTGCTTGCTGAGAGCCACGGCTGAGTATTGATTGACAGGCGTTAACATGCGGGGTGAATTTGGATCTGATGGACCTTTTAGGATATCAAATAAAGGTCCCAACTCTCCTGTTGGTATGCCTAGATAAGGTCCATCAGATCCAAATTCACCCCGCATGTTAACGCCTGTCAATCAATACTCAGCCGTGGCTCTCAGCAAGTGCTATTGAAGGAGAGTTTTTTGGTTTGGTTTGGTTTGGGTTTGGTTTACAATGGAGAAATTTCAGCATATTTAAATATTTTATGAAAATAATTTTGTTGAGAGGGAGCTGTTGACCATCCTGGAGAGAAAATAATAGTTAATACTGCATGGTTCCTGAGCTTATTGTGTATGCACGAAGCGGGTGGTAGAGTCCCAGGGACTTGTAGAAGCATGAGCATATGCTAGTGGTTCTCCCCCACAAACATTTGGCAACATCTGAAGATATATTGGTTGCCACAACTGGAGGCCATGCTACTTGCATCTACTAGATAGAGGCCAGAGATCCTGTTAACCATCCTACAGTGAAAAGGCAGTCCCCACACCAAAGACTAATCTAGCCCCAAACATCAACAAGTGGTGAGGTTGAGAAATCCTGGCCTAGGCAATAACAACTCCTCTATTATAAAAAGAGGAAAGGATGAAAGAAGAGGGGGCGGGGTTGATAGAGGAAAGTCAGAGAAGTTTTCTCAGACCAGCATAGTGTTACATGCCTGTAATCCCAGCTACTCAGGAGGCTGAGGCAGGAGGATGGAAAGTTTTAGGCCTATATGGAAAACTTTAGTGAGACCAAAGTCTCAAAATAAAATTAAAAAAAAAAAAAAAGGGATGCAGCTCAGTGGTAGAGCTCTTGCCTAGCATGCTCAAGGCCCTGGGTTCAATCTCCGGTACCTCAAAAAACAAACAGGGGCTGATGCTGCAGTTCAGCAGCAGAGCACTCACCTAGCATGAGTGAGGCACTGGTTTCAATCCTCAGCACCACATAAAAATAAACGCTTTCTGTGCATCTACAACTACAAAAAAAAAAAAAAATCAATAGCATTTTCACTGAAAAAGTAAGAGTATAAGTTATCTGTGAGGTGGTTAGGAGTGTGTGTGTGTGTGTGTGTGTGTGTGTGTGTGTGTCAAAGGCAGAATTCTGGGCTGGGGATGTGGCTTAAGCGTAGTGCACTCGCTTGGCATGCGCGGGGTGCTGGGTTCAGGGGCGCTGGGTTCGATCCTCAGCACCACATAAAAATAAAATAAAGATGTAGTGTCAAAAAATAAATAAGTAAATAAATAAAAATTTAAAAAAAGATGTAGTGTCCATCAAAAACTAAAAAATAAATATTAAAAAATTGTCTCTCTCTCTCTCAAAAAAAAAAAAAAAATCAAAGGCAGAATTCTGGGATCTAAGCCGATGGAGAAGAGAAATAAAGGAAGGGGAGAGCCAAATGTTTGGGAGAAATTAGTTCAACAATCTAGGAATTTTGATGTTGCCCAATTTATCTTATTAAAGTAATTGAAAAACCCAGCCAGAGAAGAGTTTCTGTTAAGAGAATCAGGATAGTATCTGATGACCAGGTCAGGATGAGAATGGATGGTGTCACAGACTGGGTGTACCCATTCCCCCAAATTAATATGTTGTGACCCAATTCCCAGTGCAATGGTGTTTACAGGTGGGGACTTTTCAAGGTAGTTAGGTGGAGATCTCATGACTGGGATTAGTGAGACCTCAAGAGCTCCCTTCACCATTTCATCCAGTGAGAAAATAGCAAGAAGGTGCCATCTATGGCCCAGGATGGAGGCCTTAGCAGACACCAAACATGCTTTGATCTTAGATTTCCCAGCCTCTAGAACTATGAGGAATACATTTCTTTTGTTTAAACCACCCAGACTATGGTGTTTTTGTTATAGCATCCAAACAGACAACTAGACAGATGGCAAGCATGGAGTAGAGTTAGGGCCACCATGTGTCCATTATGGATTGTGCAGTGCCCAAGCTGCCCTGGATATAGGAGTGGCATACACTGAGTGGCCAAGGTCGTGCACATGGATGTGGAAACCAGCCACAAACATGGCTGAACACTTTTTGCATCACTGGTGAATAACATTTCAATGAATAATGAAGTAATAAGGAAGAAGAGAGAGTGATAAAGTCTTAAGAGTTTAAAGTTTTAAAAAAGCAGAACTTTTGACAAAAGTGTAGAAGAAGCATGCTCTACATTTTTAGAAGATAGCAGATTCAGGTGTCCTCAGGGACATTTGTGTTTCAATCAAAGCAGATGTGGGAGCTACTCAGAGAGCTTAAGCTTCGAAGAGGATTTGCAGGTTATGGAGTTGTTGTGGGGGACTGTGGGCCAGGACAGGAAAAGTCTGAGAGGAAGACAAGTGGGACAGGGAACAGATGAATGAGCATCTATTTTAGATTATATTTTTGTGGGGGTGGGATACTGGGGATTGAACCCAGGGGCATTTAACCACTAAGACACATTTTTATATTTTATTTAGAGACAGGGTCTTGCTGAGTTGCTTATAACCTCACTAAGTTGCTGAGGCTGGCTTTGATCCTCCTGCCTCAGATTCCAAGCCGCTGGGATTATAGGCATTTGCCACAGCATCCAGCTATTTTAGATTCTTAACTTAGTACCTCATCAAGGTTCAGCCATAAAGAAGAATAAAATAATGGCATTTGCCAGTAAGTCGATAGAACTGGAGACTATCATGCTACATGAAGTAAACCAGTTCCCCCAACCAAAGGTCAACTGTTCTCTCTGATTTGTGGATGCTAACCTAATACAAGGGAGGTTGGGGAGGGGAATAATAGAAATCCATTGGATTACACAAAGGGAAATGAAGGGAAGAATAGGAGGGGAACAGGAAAGATAGTAAAATTAATCTGACATAACTTTCCTAGCCTTGTATTTGAATACACGACCAGGGTACTCTGCATCATGTAGAGCCACAAGTGTGGGATCCTAAATAGAATAAGTTATAATCTACGTATGTACAACTTGCCAAAATATATTCTACTGTCATGTATATATGTTCTAAAAAGAACATATAAAATAAAATAATTTTTTAAAAAAATTTTACTTTGAGGCAGGGTCTTGCTAAATTGTTTGAGCTGCCTCAAATTTGGGATTATCCTCCCAAGTAGCCAGAATTACAGGTGTGTGCCACTATGCTTATCACTTTTAGTGGTCTTAGTCCATGAGCAATTGGACCCCATTGCTTGGGCCTGTGACTGTGCATTGTGTGGGAGTGTGTGACAGAGCAAAACAGCTCATCTCATGGCCAGGAAGAAAAGGAGAGCAAAAGAAAGGCTTTGTGGTCCCCACATCCTTTTCAGGGCATGCCCCCAATGGCCTGAAGACCTCCTACTAGGCCTAACCTCTCAAAGGTTCTCCCATCCCCCAGTACTGCCATACTAGAGACCAAACTTTTAATACATGGGCCTTCAAGGGAC